GATAATTTGGGCAAGTAACTTATGAAATAATTTTTTGGCGTCGGAGACTTTAGCGGCCAGTTTAACCCCGAAAATTAAATTTTTGAACTCTGAAATTTATGCCACCCTACTAATTCAAACCTGCTCTTTCAGATGGCATCAAAAAAACAGGGTCGAAAAAACTGTGCCAAGTAGACCTCCCGAACCCCCCATTCACCCCCAAGGACCCCCATTTGACCCCCATGGCAACCCCACCAAAACCCCCCAACAGACACCCCTGCCAACCCCCAAGGTACCCCACCCGAACCCCCATTTCAACCCCCCATTGGGCAAAATTCTGGCGGTGTGTAAATTAATGGTTGTAAGTTTTAAGAACGTTTTAGCCTGTTTCAACTTTTTTTCAACCCCCTTTTCAACACCCCTGAAAACCCCCATTCAACACCCCGCCCAACCCCCACCCTACCCCCTCGCAACCCCCCTATGACCCCCATCCAACCCCCCCAAGTATGGGGGTAAATGGGGGGGTTCGGGAGGTCTAGTGCCAAGCCATAATAGGGGTTGGTCGGGTCCCCCGCCAACGGTTTTTTAAGCAGCCTGAATCGTTAAAAATAAATGCACTTGTTCAACACCAGAAAAAATTCATTTCCAGCGCACCGACGACGGCGGATGGCGACCGGGTGGGCGGTTGCCAGTCTGGAAATGCCCCGACTGCGCGATACAGTTTTCGAGGGATGGGCCGCGCAAGCCGTGGCTCTACATGTGCTGCCAGAGCCTAACCTGCGGAAGCTGTTTGGAGCTGGGCGGCGTTCGGCATGAATGTGCAGTGCATATGCCTATTGATCACACCAATCTCGTAGAAGTAATCATGGGTTATCAATCTTTAGCCGTGGATTACAATGTCAAGATGCCGGAGTTCCTCGGGTACAACGATGCCACACCGTACAGCCGCGGAAGATCACCGACCAGAGGTGGTCACCCATTTTTCGCACTGAACTCGCGAGCCCTGGGAATGAGGCCGAATGCCCAGAACCGTCGTCATCAGCCGCAACGGGTGGCAAGCGCTGAAGCTGTGCCCCGAAAGAACGCCGCTGGCGCCTCGAAAATCAAGAATCTCTTGACCCATCAGCCGTCCTCTGATTCGGACCTCTACGATTCATCGGACTACGACGACGACTATGACGGACAACGCGACGGCTTCATTCTGCCAGGAAAAACGGCGCAACCTGTGCCCCTTTGGCACCCGGAACCGCCGAAAGTCGAGAATGGTCCCTACGTTCTTCCGGATCGCTCCGGCGTCGTAGTCGAAGCCGCTGACCTGAATGAAACCTGCGGAAACTGCCAGCGCAGCTTCGGCATCACCGACCTCTTCTCGTGTACGGAATGCGACGGAATGACGCTGTGTGGAGCGTGTTGCTTCCGTGGACACAGGACTCATGAATGCGTCGATTTGAAGGAGCGGAAGCTGGAGGAATTGGAGAGGAAGACAACGGAATTCCTGTCGCAACAATACGCCGGATTACGCGGAAATATCCAAGGAGTACACGCAGAGATTGAAGACGGCCACAAAGAGCTTGTGAAGGCTTGTGAAGGGACTCTAAAACTCGTCCCCGGCCAGACGGATTACGGTATCGGAGCCAGGATCTGCGCGGAATTGAAGGCCACTGCAGACGATTTTGAGAAGTGCTTTGAGGCGTATCTACCTCATGCTCGGATGTATGGGACAAATCTGAAAAATCTGAAGGACAAAGTGCAGAACATTGTTGGCGACCTTCAAAAAGACATGAATGGAGACTGGTGAATGTTTTGTGAATAAAGATTTTAATTGAATGAGTGTTAAAATCTAAAAACGCACCGTATTTTTTGAAATTTGCTTGACTAGTTATGACCTTGAAACCATACAAACCCGTCAAATTTTTGGTGTTACGTAAATAAGCGTAACAAGCGGACCAGGTTGCGATGGTAAATTTTCCATTTTTTAATTTCAAGAATTTTAATTTAAGTTAAATTTTTAATTTAATTTATCTTAAATTCTTTGCGTTTTTCCATATATTATAGCATGCCTCTTTTATGTTTCTCCCAAACGCAGTATCCAATCGATGGCATCCAGATTTTTCTCTTGTCAGCATAGTTGACCCTCCAGGCAGACGTCTGCCCGAGGCGTTGATTTACAACGCGTCATCGTAAATGCACCACACACAAAAATTAGTGCTTTGCGGCCAGCTGCTGCCCAAAACAATTTCTTATTCTCCATCTTTTTCCCATAACTTTTTGTCGGGGGCAAGATTGCATTTTTATTCTATTGTGACCTTTTTTTGGCGATTTTTAGTTGTGCAATGGTTTCTATTTTATATTATAGTTTTTCGCGATATTTGATATATTTAAGAAATTGCTCTAGCGCCATTCGATATCGCGTCAAAAATATACAAAACGTAGCCCCGTAGTTTTTAGCCCTAAATAATGTAAATAAAAAAATAATTGAAAAAGGAAATGACTCCTGGAAAGTTCAAGGAAATTGCAATCATTTTTAGAAGATCATAATTCCGCAAATAAAATTTTCAAAATTCAGAATTTCGAAATTTTTGCGTTTACCTTTTAGTTTGCATTTCACTTTGGCATGCTATTTTAACTTTTTGCGGCCATTTGCTGTTGCGTTTTGTCTAAATTTTTCAGTTTCCTACCTTATATAATTTTGGGGTGTATCTCTGTGTGTGTGTGTGGATGTCACTTTCGAGGCCCGATTTGAGGGCGTTCCCGTGTCGAAAATGCCCTAATTCTCCGTCACCCAGGGGAATCGACCCTTCTGTTTCCGATGACGTTCTCAGAATTTTCATAAAATACAAGTTTACAAAGTTAAAGCCGGTTTTATTCATTTTTGGGGGTCCGGGAGGGCTAATTTGCATAATGTGAAAAATAAGAAATTCCCTCATTCTTGTGAATTGCACGCGCGCGTGTGGGGGGGGCGGGGTCCGCAGGACCCGAGCTGTCGGAAAGTCAAATTTATCATGCAAAGGCCGCATTCCAGCGCCCAAGGCCCGCGAAGCGGGTTTTGGGCGCTGGTTTCAAAATTTTGATTTTCCAAAAAGTGCTGTTCGGAAACATGACATTTCGAAAATGGGACTTTCCGAAATACTTGTGTGCAAATCCGTGTATGCAAATCAAAAAACTGTGTGAGGGCTTTCGAATAATCTTTGTATATTTCCCACCTTTTTGTTGAGGCTCTTGACAGCGGAATTTGAGAACAGACCCACAAAAGGTCGAAGGCCGGCTCAACCAAAATAACCCGGGAAAATCTGACACACGCCTTCTTCAGCTGGGCTGCCCGAACATGGGGCAGATCGAAAAATGACATGGCTCGGGACAATAGTGACAGCCAGGGGAGAGCTGGGGAAGAGAGAGAGATAAAAGAGAGGGGAGAAGAGCGGAAGGGAGAGAGAGAGAGGGAGAGAGAGCGGCAAGCCGAAAAACTATAGCTTTGGGATTTCTAGATATCGGAGAAAGATTGCAAAACGGACTGGAAGCGCTAATTACAGGCAAGGGAGCAAAGAGAAGAGAGAGAGAAAGAGAAGGCAGAGAGAGCAGAGAGAGAGAGAGAGAGAGAGAGTGAGAAAAAGAACAGTTAACAGGAAAAATAGCTAAATTCAGGATTCCTTGACACGCTGTTTAAACATTCTAAAGCATTGAAAAGCAAGCTGGAGGAAGCTTAAGGCGAGCAGGGAGGGAGAGAGAGAGAGAGAGAGAGAGAGAGAGAAAAAGCAAAAAAGTTGTGAATTCTAGTTTATAGTCGCGAAAAACTAGTATCGCTCACTCGGCAATCGCTGCAAATCGCTAAGCTAAAAGCTTAAGGTTCCAAATTTAAAGGGACCAGCAAGCGTGGGTTTTTAGTCATGGATTAAGCATTAAAAAAGATATTTGGTGGAATTTTAATGCGAAATCTGGATGTTTCAACCCTTTTCTACCCCCAGAAAATTTCTAAACTCCCCTTAAACCAACATATCAGCACCCGAGGTGAATCATATCACGAAATGAGTGAGCTGTCGATGTGTGTGGGTTGCCGCTCAAGGGGGGTGTCCCCCTCCTGAGTCTCAACCCAGAGCTCATCAACGGAAAGTCGTAACCTGAAACGATAGGGCGGAGAGCATGAGGTTTTCCGGGAGACCCAAAGATGCAGAGTGTGCATGGGGCATTGGCCGGTGGGACGGCCCGGAGGGGGGCTTTTGGGTGTAAAGCCCCCTCCTTCGGCCGGGTGATCTCCAACTCTCGGACTCTCGACTGGGGAGGGCGGATGACCGGAAAAAACACGGTGGCCAGGAGGGGGAGGAGGTGGACCCCCTCCTGGCACCTCGACCGCAAAAAATAGCCTCTACCCCCAGACGGAACGAGATGGCGCTCTGGCATTTTTGAGATCGGCGTCGGTTATAGAGGGCTATTAAATCGCTGAAGTTTGGGCAAGTTTGGAATCGAATCACATCGAACCAAAAGTAGACAAAATCGTGAAAATTATGATAGATTAATTCCGAAAGACGAAGCCTTAAAATTCACAAGTTTTATTCACTTAATTTTGCCTTGAGGGGGACGTCGGCATTTTAACTTGTCGGCATTACGCCGAAAAATTAAAAAAAACCAGAGGAAGCCAGGGATAGAGAGTGGAGCCGAGGGCGAGGGAGTGAGAGAGAAGCAGAGAAAGTGAGGTGGACTGTAGTCGGATAGAAGCTATTTAGCCAACTTCTGAAGGGAGCCTACCAGCTAACCAAAAAACTATGATTCGATAGATACGATGTCACGGATGATTGCTCCGTCTTACTCTGTCTCAGTCTCTGCCTCTTGCTCGCTTATTCTGCCCCAGCACCACTCTCTCTCTCTCTCTCTCTCTCTCTCTCCCTCTCTCTCTCGCTCTCTCTTCTGTCTCTCTCACTCTCGCACTCTCTCGCTCTCTATCTCTCTGTGATCGAAAACCTAAAAACCAATCTTCTCAAAAACCACAATGGATCAACAAAATGTATACACTTTATTCATAACGTTCAGCAAGTAAATTCCTGCCCCTTCCAGTTCTTCCAATCCTCGTTGATATATTCAATGATCGGGCCGAACACCTGGTCATGTGCCTTCAATCCCCACTCAAAGTCGATGTGGGCGAAGCCATCATAGCCCTTCTGGCTGCGCATGCTTTGAAGGCGGGGGATGAGGTAGGACTAAAATAGCCGATCTTTCAGCATCAAAGATGGCGGTTCCAACATGAAATTCATACTTACCTGAATATCAAGTGGATCCGCTAGTGTATCGTTGAAACCCCAATACAACCTGGTTGGTAGCGTCATATCCTCGACAGCGTATTTGGGAGGGGTTGGCTAAACAGTTTTAGAAACCCATCCTTTGTTGAGTTCTATTAATGCGTATTTCAGCTATCATAGCCATTAATGCAGGAATATTTTAAGGACAAGGGAAACTAGTAGCGATTCTTGAGGAATTATTCCCGGGCAAAACCAAAAAGCTCATGATTCCTACCTGTCCATAATGTTTCTGGTTCTCCTTCTCGTCGTCGTAATCAAACATTTGGAATTTCTGAGCCTTCACGTTTTGCGCCATTTGGATGACGACGTTCGTGGAAGTACCAGAGGGCATGTGGTTTAGGTAGACGGGGACTCGGGTCTAAATACAGATCGTAATTATGAGCAAGGGAGAGATAGAGAGACGAGAGAGAGAGAGGAGAGCGAAAAAGAAAACAAGCTCTACGAGATTTTATAAGTACCTCATTCAACTGGTTACTGTTCCCAGAAATCAAGAACAGCAGATTGTCGCAGTCCTTGTAGGTGTCGGCGTCCTCGCAAACGTCCTCAGCAATAAGCCTCGTCAACCAGTCCGGTGGTAGGAACTGGTCCCAGCCAAGGTCTTTCAGGAGCTCCTACATAACCGGTGTGGTCTCAACAGCTTCTGTTACCTGGACAAACTGATACCGATCCGCCAACCAGGCGAAAAGACCTTTGATGTGAGCAACCGAAGCGACGGGACCGAGGGCGTGGAATTCGCGGATCTAAAACGAAATTTGATTGGTTTGAGAAAATGTGGATCTTTCGCTAGTGCGCGATTTTTTAAGAACCAGGAGGTCATCTAAAGGGACAGACAAGTCATGGCTTTGGTTTTCTTGCTAAGCTATGTGCGCTGCGTGTCTCGATGCGTGGCGCGCTGCGAGTCACGTTGCGTATCACAGCGCGTCTCGCGTTGCATGCTTTGTGCTTTGCGTGTCTCGCCGAAATCCCAGTGCAGGCACGCGGTTTAGCAGGCGAGCTCTCTTTTTCCCCGACCTTTAACTTTACGCAGGTTTACTCAATGCTACCTTCTGCTCCAACTGATGATTCGTCGAAAATTCGGCAAACGCCGCCATCGTTCCCATACTGTGAGCTACGTAATATAATTGGTCAGCATTGGTTTGATCTATTACGTAGTTGAGCATTGCTGGCAGATCTTGCGAACCCATCTAAATTGTGAACTACGAAAAAAAGCCGCGTTTTACTTGGTCCCAAGAGAACTGCCAAAATTCGTGTCCCTTCGGGTCAAGCTTGGTATGATTTTTGCCATACACGTTGCCTCGGAAGTTCCCAAGCCACACGTCGAAGCCAGCGTCGGCAAAGGTGAAGCCTGGAAGACAAGATTGAAAGTGAATTTCAGAGGATGCGATCAAATGTAAGACTAGTACGAAAAATGTTGGCTTTTGTAGAGGATGGGGCTGGCGACATCCTGGCTCGGCATTAAAATTTTACCTCGTCCCGTTACTTTATTACCTTTTCGTCAATTTTCATAAATCTAGTAATTTTCGGAAATATCCTAACCCACCAGCGCTCTGACTGGGCAGATTCAGGATCCAAGAAGCCGACGAGCCCTCCATGCCATGTTGCAGGAATACGGTAGGTCGGGCGCAGTTCGGAATTCCTTTTTGGTGCTGTCTGGAATGTAGATGCTATTAATGTTTTTTAAAGCGCGAAGACCCTTCCTCAAAATTGGTACTTCGTCCTTTTCTCTTTCTTTGAAAAAACTATGGCATGCTAGCAGCAACAATTTGCGGAATAAGAGAAAGAATGATTTTGAGATTTGGGCAAGCCTAACGAAAGTCCGGATTCAAAAACACTTTAATCGATATAGGAATCTATGGAAAATTTAACTAATGTATTTATGTTGCTTAACCAAGCGTAATTACGCTCGTAATTTTTATGCAAACCCACTTGTTTGGGATCCTGTGAATAGTCAAAATATAGCCATCTGCCGTCGTCACAAAGTGCTCTTCGGCCTCATAATCCCAACGTTTCGCGATACCCAGCTAATAATACGTCTTTGAGCTACTTTCCAAGCTCACAAATTCCAACTCCAGCTCCGGATCCGGCGGGAATTCTGTGGGAAAAGCGGAAATTAACGGCAAAGCCAGGAAAATCCATAGCTTGGCCATTTTTCGGACCCAGAATGCAGGGGGCTCGGCTAATCAATTTGCACCCGCCGAATTTTTCATTTTCCGGTTTGCCGACTTATCAGCACGTGTTTCTAGTCTGGTTGTTGTGCTTTATCGGGGTCGAAGATTGAGTGGAAGCGCTCCAGAATCAGTTGCGAAAATTTATTTATCATAGTTATCATCATAAAAAGGTATTAAAAATAGTAGAGCTTTTCGAGCTCGATTTGCTGGAACAACCACACACCTCCGATGAAGCAGAAGAGCTGCAATTTGCATTAATCCAAAGCTACCTTGCATGCTTCTTACCTCCAGAATTGAAAGCAGGATAATCACGCCGAAAATCGCGGAAAATTGCGTCCGATTCCTGTACTGCATTTCTTTCATGCACCCCTAAAATAAGGTTAACATTTTAAGGTTTTTAAGACAATTTGTTTGTTAAATTGTCAGTTATAGCTCTATTCCTCTAATTTTGTCGTTGTTTAACCAATAGAATCAAAATAAATATTTATTTTTTCTTCACACCGACACCAGATATTTTTTCCAACAAGACAATAAGGCGAGGGGCGTATAGAAGGTCATGGGAAATGCGTCACAAGCGCTGTACAGGCCAGTTGCTGTGTTTTGTAATTTTGTAGGAATTAAGACAATTTTCGGACTTTTTAAGGGCAAACATATGGGAATGGGACTCCTGGGATATTCGTGAAAATTTTGAGGTGATTCAAAATGATAAAAAAATTCTGACCATTCCAGAAAAGCAGGGTTTGATTGGAAAATGAAAAATAGATTACCGGACAAAAATCTGAGTTTTTAAAAAAAATAGAGCTTTTCCAAAAATGCAAATTTCCGACCACCATGCTCATCACAAAAAAAAATTCCAGACAAATGCATTCTGAGATATTGTAGTTTTCTCAAAAAGCGTCATCATCCGACGTGATCGAGTCACATAACCAGAAGCCGACGATGATACCAAATATCTAGAAAATAAGCAAAAATTCTACAGCCAAGTGCGTTCCGGCCAAACCTGTATAAGCGCAATGAATACGACAGTCCAGGCGACGATTTTGAAGTGCCAGCTCAGCTCTTTGAACGACTCCACTATTCGGTCGTAGCATCCCTAACACAGTACGATACTTACAGCCCGGGATGCACAAAGATTTATTATATTGATTCTATACCTAGTTTTTGATTAATTTGAACCGGTCAATTTCTAGAAACATGATTTTAAGCATTTAAATAATAGAATCGGTTTAATGACCCTTTTTAAAAATTGCATTGACTTTCAAGAGCCCGTGAAGGCTGAAGTTTTCCCGATCATCTTGCATGCGGTATCCTACAGAAGATGTCTGTACTCTTCGTTACGTGACTTAAGGCAACTCTACGTTATGCTACGCAACGCTTCGTCGTCAGAATGCACTGATAGCGCTTTAGGATCTGCTTTTTCGCAACAATTTTGTTGAGCTTTGCACGTCATTATGCCTGATGCTACGTTATGATTCGCGACCGCGTCTCAAAACCACGACCCGTGGTGCGTCAATCGTTGGGGAAAAATTCGCATTTTTTAGATTCGGGATGTAAATTTGGCCCAAGAAGTTCTTAAAGCCGATAACTCACATTTCCATATCGCGACACAGTAGGACAATATTGCTGCAGCCTTCCAGTACGATCCGGCGGACAACAGGCAGGTGGGAAATGATGCGCACCCCTGGTCATCGTATACCACCCAGTGTGGTTGAAGTCGCCGATTTTCGAGTCGACCCCGCAGCATTCTTTCTGAAAAATGGATAGTTTTGATCAATTTTGGTGGGTCTAAATGTATCGGGAAGTCAACGTCTACAAGGTTTTACGAAAACCAAGATTCAACTTGGTGTTTCCATCGATTTTCTCTCAAAACTCACTTCAATCATAAACTTGTCCCAGGCGGCCTTCACCAGGAACGCATCGCCTGAATCGAAATATTTTTGAGATCTTCCATCCAAGACTTTACTTTTCGTATTCGCGTCGTGATCGTCTTTGTATCGTCGCGGGACGTCTGTCCCGTTATACATTTTTAAGGAGGCTCGAAGGATGTCCCGGAAATCTTTGTCAAACTAAAAAGTCGTATTTTGTCTCGAAAAATTTACAAGTTTTTACCATGTGACTATGCAGCCCAGCATAAATTGCCGCTGCTATTTCGGTTGCCAGGATGACCATGAGACAGGTGGCGTACTGTAACGGGGCACAGTTTAGGACGAAAAACTTTGACTTACGCAACACAACAGCGGACGCCATTCCTTTGCTGCTCCGCAACACCCCAAGAATGCGATGATGATCACGAGGACACCGCCGAAGAGTAGAACTTTTCCGATTTGCCGGACGGCGATGGGCTTGGTGGCCTGAGATATCAGGAATTGTTTTGACTCGATTGTCACGCTCTTTTAAAAAGGTTAGTAAGGCAAAAATGATATTATCGGTTTTGTTTGTTGCGTAGTTTATCAAAAAATATGTATTTTCCAAGGATGGTGATGTCCCAGCCTATTTCCGATTGATTTTGTCTTCAAGATTCCTTTAGAGTCTAAAATACGATTGGTTTTCGATAGCAGAGGCCGTAAAGACCCTAGTTGCTGTGTGTTTTTGACTTCTCAGCTCCTTTAAAAATTAGAAATTGTTGCTCTGACTTATACTTCAATTTTTTAGGCTCCCCCAGCATCAATTTCAATGGCCGTCGGGTCTGGCTGTACCAAAAAGGGCATCTCAATTTTGCGCATTTTTTGTACGCAACAGACCAAAGCAGACCACCGTCTATGAACCTCGAACTGCGACTCACACAAAAAGTCCGCGGAAAAACTCCAAAAGCTTATTTTAATGTGAATCGGCGGGACGCACAATAGGAAATATTGGCCCTGGCTGCTAAAGTGTGTCCAAATTTGGCTTGGCTTTGGCCCATGACCGGAAATCAGCGGCGGAAAACTGGTGCTATGGCGCTAACCGATACTTACAGCTCGAAATAAGCGTTTTTACAAGCCACACTAGCAGCAAGAAACCGAACAACGCTGTAACTTAAATTTTGCTCTGAGGAACCCAATTCACTCCCACTTTACATAGAAGCCACCCACGAAATGCCTACAATAAAGAGGAGCTCTGACGTCAAATACGGCTAAACATGGGGGCGTCAAAATATGAAAACTTGACAAAACTCACCAAATCCCGGAGACCCTCATCCTGTTCGTAGCCTTGAACTTTGGAGGTGGCCACGGCAATAGAATCGACTGCAGACTGGTCGACGAGAAGCCACGTGCCGATGCCCACGCAGACGAGGCCGCATATCTAAAGTAATCAATAAAAAATGCTCATCAATTCTTCAAAAATTGTAGCGAGTTTGCGTGAATTTTATTGTCTGCAGCGGTGGTTTCGAGAGCGCCATTAGTGCGCGATGGTACCAATTTGCAAACTCGCTTTCTGGATCCGTTTGCAAGCCACGGTTTGCAGTTTCGGCTTCTCGGTAATTTAACAGAATCTCTGCTACTAGAATCGAATCTCTATCTCTCTCTCGAATTTACAGGATATATTCTCGTTTGATGAGCTGGAAAAATTCAGGATGGGCAAATTAAACCATTATAAACCGTTTTTTACGCCCTGTGTCTTTTCTCGAATCCCGATGATACATTCTGAGTCTCTAATTCTCTATTCTCGTCCTCCAGTCACCCAAACTCTCACCAATGAGGAACCGACACCGATCAGAGGGCGGCGGCGAAAGACCAATTTATGGCCACCCGGGCGTTCCGTGTCAATCCATAAATCAGGGGCCATCCCATCAGGGTTGGGTGCAAATCGGGACTTTCGGCAGCGTCTCTTACACGTCTCTTGTTAGCTTCTCCTTTTTACCCGGTCGGAACTCTGTGAGGCCCAGAGAGCCCAAAGGACCCAAAAGGCTCCAAAGCACCCAAAGAAAGACAGCTAACTAGCGTTTGATTGAATGGGGTCGGGTTTTTTCGGCTGGATTGGGGACTAAAAAGCACAAAGTTTAGAGTTTAGGATTTTCAGAAGGACGGGAACTAGGAGAAGGCTATGGATTATTGCGAAAATCGGAATTTTGACTTCCGAGTACCTTTAAGACAGCGTTAAAAAATTTTTGTGGTAGTTGGACTTTTAATAAATCGGGAATGTCGAGAACAGCCCATTGAAAGCTTGAAGTTTCTAGACTGCTAGTATCTTGAATAAACCCTATTTTTCGTTTTTCTTTTGACTCGAAAGTTTTTTCGATCACCAGACTAAGAACCCATCCATCTAATGAATCTTCAAGATCAGACAGAAACAAAGACCTCCCCTCCGTTGAGCCAGATTTAAAAGGTTTATCCAAAAATGGATTTGAACCTCGGCTGAGAAGAAAATGCTGACCAGCTCAGAAATCCGGGCGAATAGGATTGGTCGCCGCGAGCTGAGCACCAGGTTGGAATCACTTTGAGTCAAAATGTCAGGCTACATGAATACGGAGGTTTGACTAGGGTAGATGTACATCCTTGACCAAGTTAAAGGGCCAGGTAAGACAAGGTAACGGATACTTATTGATTTGCACCATCTGGAACCACGGTAAACAATTTTTGGGCGTATTTTCTAGCAATAGTCAATTGTTTGCATTTCGTCGGCAATAATGTTCGTCAATTTTATTTTGTTAGAATGCGATATTGTCGAAAATCCATTTTATCGAAATCAGACCTTTCCGAAAGTTCCTATTTCGAAGTTTTTAATACACTAAATTTAATTTTTACATATCAGAGATAAAAGAATTTAGGCAAGGTGGGTTTTCTACAAAATGATATTTCAACAAAACGGTGTTGGACAACATGCTTATCGACAAATAAAATTTCGTGACATTGGCTTGCCAAACAACGTTTCGACGGAAATGATTTTATCGTAATTCCACTATTTCGAAATTTTAAAACCCAAATTTAAGTTTTCGGCATGTTTGAGATGCCATAATTTCGACAAAGTGATTTTCTACATAATGGATATCGACAAAATTAAATTTGAAAATACTGATAGCATCTTTACCTTCCTCTTGGGGCTGTCTAACCTCTGATCACCCAACCCTGCCGCTCCGAAAGTGCTCATCGCAAAGTTTGGGCTTGATGTGTGAGAGGCTTCAATCAACTTATCTCGACTTGGCTTTGCCCCTCTTTCTCCGCCTTGAGACCAACCGCGAGGGGCGTAATATGGCCCGGTTCGACCCCGGGAGCCCCAGGTCGTGGGCCTGAGCCTGACAGTTGGCCCGGATCCCCACCTCAAGCCCCGGGGGCAACGACTCACTTGGAAATATTGTCGATGGGTTCTGCCGGCCGGCATTCGCGATAAAAACAAACTATGCAGGAAGTGGGTTGGGCCCTCTTGGATTTCTTTGGGTTGTCCATAGGGCCCTGAGGTCCCATTACCACCCAATACTTTTTATGAGCCCCGTCTTGGAGATGCCTGAATGGCGGGTTGGAACGCATGGGGAAGAGGGTGGAAGCATGTGGACATCAGCGAAAAATGCATAGATATTTTCAAGGAGCTAACAAAGCAGAAATCATCGCAAAATTACCATATCGATAGGTTCGCGTAACTGGTTACGACAGGCTGTTGAGATTATCTATTAATGCGTCGCACGTTTCTTTATAGCGCATAATCGGTTAATCCTGAAATCGGTGATGATCAGGGATCCATAACGTTTTAAAGGGGCGCAAAAGGCTGAATGAGTGGAAAAGGTCTATTCCCCGTTCCACTCGAGTACTAAAAACCGCGATTGGTAAGCCTATGGTCATTAGCACTATTTTTTAGCTAGGTCCGTATAATAGTTTTTGAGGTTTTATAGCCCTAGAAAATGCGCGTTTTTCGGAACATTCCACGTTTGAAACAATACGTTTCAAAAATTTAAGCAAATTTGAGTGGAAATCCAAAAGGTGTCGTTGCAATGTGAAGGCACGCGTCAACCGGAAAATTAGGAAAATTTGTATTGTAGCTGGCGGCGGCTAATTTCATCCTTTTTTTGTTGAACTTTTTAGACTCTATTTACCAACAACCTCCTATTATATTCTCTACCACACGCTGCTCTGAATCAATCCGAAGTCAAACCCCCCTCACGAAAAGGATGGCAACTCCCCAGAGACAATGCCGAGAATCGGGAGGGCCCCATTCGGCAGAATAATGGATAGGATGAGGGGGTGTCACGCACAAAGATTTCACTAGTCGGAGAAAGTATATAAAATTGCGAAAAAATTAGCGGAAAAATAGGCAAAAACGTCTCATACGTGATACTCTAAATAACATAACGGCTATACGTACTTTACCTAACTATAAAATACGGCCATAGTCCGCTCAAAACCCTCAAAAAGTTGATGTTTCGATTAATGCCTGGCTCAATCTAAAGCTGGGCTAAGCTTGGCTTAGGTTTGGGCTTAGGCTTGGGCTTAAGCTTAGGCTCAGGTTCAGGCTTGGCCTAAGGTCGCGGCTTACGCTTTGCTCAGCCCCAGTGCCATAATTAAAATATAAGGCCGACTCACCAAAAAAACCAGATTGAAGATGAATAGCGAAAACTTCAACGCTCGTGCTCCACAACTGAGAGGCATCTTCTAAGGGTTTGGGCTTTAAGCCCGTAGAGCGTCAAGTGTATCGTTGTGTAGTCGAGCTGGTCAGTGAGCTGCTTTCGAGTAGCCTCCGAGCCCCAGAAATCGGATCAAATGGTTATGAGGGTGGGGTGGGGAGCACGAGAGGGGAGAGGGAGCGAGAGAGACAGAGAGAAAGTGAGAGAGTGATAGAGAGAAAGCTAGTGGGAGCGAGAGAAACACAACGGGAACAAGGGAGCACCAGTTGCCCCAGGCCCTCTTGTGGGCCCCTAGTCAGCCGTTTGACCCCGGATAGAGGGAGGGCCCAACTCCCCCCTCCGGCTCCTCTTGTCGACAACCGGAAAGATGAGACTTTTGGAAAACACAATTCGGGCCAGCTTTCCCTCTCTAGACCCCCTCCACCCTCCGCTTTTTGACGGATTTCGGGCCCAGTTAGCGATTAGTCGAGCTGTCGGCGGAGGGGTGAAAAAATGGGTTGGGACTCCAGCTGCGGGTTGCAGCTTGGTTGGGGTTCGGAAATTGCCAATACATAGAAAATTCAACGTGGTGCTTTGCTAATATACGTAGAAAAAAATCTAGCAATTGGTATACAAATTTCAGCTTTAAAAGAGGGTCTTGGCTTCCGGATTTTGCTAACCTGATGCGTCTACAGAGCTGCCAACAAACAGAAATTTCAGAATCATCATTTTAACTGAGCAATGAAGGCAAAACCTTTGACTTTTTAAGGAGTGTGTTACCATGGTACTGTCATTCTCCGAATTTTTTTTGAGGATTCCTGATTTTAAAGTAATGTTGAAAGCACAAGCCGATCTCAATATACGAATTTTTCAAGGTAAGAAGCAGACATTTTCGAAATCGTGAGGAAGAACATATTTAAAGGGCGGTTGAAGTCAGTCAGTCAGTCAGGCAAGGCAAATTTGAGAAAAAATCTTTCAATCGAAGATTCGCTGCATTATTTTCCGCTCCTTTCCGTATGTGTACTCTTTGTGCCGCTCTTAAAGATGCCGTTATTATAATCACTATTGATCCTGAGCAAAATAGTTTAATATCCCATCCTTGGGAAGCGACAGTGTGCTTTTCGTGTTTTTACATGTTGGCTGCTTCTAAAAATGCTAAAAAACTTCTGAATACACACACTTTATCTCACGAGGATCCAAACACAAAGATGTATATATTTACAAAAACACGCACCAAACATTTGGATATAAATATACTTCGAGAATTCAATATGGAGCTGATCAGGGAGGGTCAGATTTTCAGAGCGGGGTATCATTGGATGAGATCGATATGTTATGGGAGGGGTGGCATGGCTGTAATAACGTAAAAATTAAATATAATGAAATAGACATAATTGCAGGCAAGATCGATTGGGTGGATACAGGTATCGCTGACTAGTGGAGTAATACTTAACATACTGCAATACCGTAGTGCAGTAAGCTATTCTTGAGGGAAAATCGGTCATGAGAAACATATTTAAAAAATAGAAACAAGGAGGATTACTGACAACCGTATTTAGCACTGTTGCGTTGATGAGAAAACGAAGTAAAGGCTAGGTTTAGGCTTAAGCATAGGCTTAGGCTTAGGCTAACCCTTAAATACCTTTAGATTCCCTTTAGAATCGATATTTGGGGATGAATAGTTTGAAAATTGAAAAATACACAAAAAGCAATAAAATACAGCAAATAAAAATTCGGAAATTTGATGTCAACATCCCTTTAGTAAGGCTGGACCATGGCTCTGTGTAGCTGATCATTGAGGCTCAACAGCTGCAGGTTCGGCGTCATTAGCGTGTTGAAGGAGTGGGTGGAGACTGGCGCCGTAAATGGAGGAGATTGCTGTTGGATGGGGGACGAGTTGAGCAGCAGCTGGTAGAGCTCATTTTGGGTGAGGTTCGGGAGCTGGAGGAGGGAGAGGGGCGTGCTGAAACAGGAGGGTTAAAATTTGGATTTAAATAACTTGTATTGTTGTGACAGATTCCTTGTGTACGAAAGTTGCCCTTTACGTCTAGGCGCTTTTCTGCGCTTTCGATTCTCACCAAGCTCAAGCCCAAAAACAGCGCCAACGCCTAACCAAGAGAATTCCAGTTTTGATGCGCCAACCGAAAAGATCAGCCAATCGGCGGGCTAGCTGACTCAATCCGCTCTCCCCATTGCATGATACGGTAAATGATACAAACCTGGTGGGTACGGTGGGTGGCGTGACGGGCACGGGAGCGGGGATTTGTTGCTGCTGGGCCATTTGCTTCACCGAAGTCGAGGCAATTTGGCTGGATAGTTGGTAGGAGAGGAGATGGTCCACCGGGATGACGTCACGTTGGCATACTGTAAGAATTGGATGAAATAGGCTTCGGCAAAGCATGGGCTTAGGCTTAGGCTTACAAGGGTTTTTAAAAGCCTTTTTAGGTTTCTTAGTTACAGCAACCATAAATTCGGTTTATTTGAGTTCGTAATCGTTGCTTACATTTAGCCTCCAACTGCTCGTTCCTCCTCTTGATCTGCTCGAAATCCCGCTGATTTTGCGTTAAATTCGACTGCAACGCGTTGATGTATTCTACGGCGCGCTTGAGGATGAGGGCGCGGGAGGACTGAAAAAGCGTTGTAAGGTTATGTTTAAAAATAAAATATGTGAATTTAGACGTAAAAAACCTCCAAAAATAGGGCACGTTGGAAGCTACAGTACCTTTTCTCCGTTAAGTTGCGGGATGGCTTCTTTCAAGTTCGTGAAATGGTCCTTGATATGGTCACGCCGTCTTCTCTCCAGCTCGTTGTGGTGCGCCCTACGGTCATCCTCCATCGAGGGAGTTGAGGACTTTGGCGATGATCCGAGATCGTCCTGAAAAACTTGTTTAGAAAAAGTTTCTCGCTCCCATTCTCTCCATTTTAAAATTTACGAAATTTCCGATACATTCCCTGATAACTCAACCCCCTCAAAACGTGGAAATCACTCTAAAAATCCCCATAAAACGTTTCTCGCGATGATGCAAGAGAGGTGCTTCAGATAACATCTGGGGGTCGAAATCTAGGGTTTCCCTCTCGGGGATTATTACGGGGTTTGACGAATTTTTGAGGCCGAGAGGGGCGAGAAACACGTGTTTTCAGGGGTATTTTGGAGGCAAAGAGGCCTTAAAAAACAACATCTAAGTTTGAAACGCAAGTTTCAGTCATTCAGGGGTTTGAATGACGGAAATGGAAGATAGAGAATTTGGAGTGACGAGGAAATGAATGTTTTGAGGCTTTAAAGGACCACTGAAGACACGAAGAACCGATAATAATGCAGGATTTGCAAAATTTTAGTTCCGGAAGCTGATAGGCTCACTTTAAAGGGGCTGGAATGGAAAAATTTATTATTTAGCTAAAAATATTGGCAAAGCTAAAGCTAAAAAAGTGGCATATTCTAATTGACAAAGCGCCAAGTAAACAAATTTGTATTTTCCTAAAACTAAGAAACAGAATTTAGCTGTGCGGTAATTAGATTTTTGTGGTAATCCTTGATCGTCTCCTTCCCTAGATTCCATTTCCCACCCCCGAACACTTCCCGTCCCCTCTACCGTACACCCTCCAATCCCGTTGCAAGTCCCTCCATTCACTCCCCCTATAGACAAGGCGAGCATTCATATGTATTCAGATTTGTTGCTCTCTCTCTTTCTCTCTCCCCCTCTCTCTCTCCTGAATGGCCGCCCAGAAAAAGCATAAAGATATTGCTTGACCCATTGAATCTGGATCTCCATTCCTCCCCTTTCCTAATCCGTGCATTAGCAGATCCGGTGCGCAAATCCGAATTGCTATCAGAATGTCGAAATTCATAATGTCGAAACTCATAATGTCGAAATTCAGAATGTCGAAATTTCATAATGTCGAAATTTCATAATGTCGAAATTTCATAATGTCGAAATTTCACAATGTCGAAATTTCATAAAGTCGAAATGTCATAATGTCGAAATTCAGAATGTCGAAATTTACAGAGGTTAATATTACCGGTGAAACCGCCAAATCCTAGCCAAAAATTTTTTCCACATTCTATTTTTTTATCTTATCTCACGACAACATTTTTTTGCCTAGAATTCGGGGACTTTACCGGAAATTTTAGCCTATGTAAATTTCGACATTCTGAATTTCGACATTATGACATTTCGACATTATGAAATTTCGACATTATGAAATTTCGACATTATGATATTTCGACATTATGAATTTCGACATTATGAGTTTCGACATTATGAATTTCGACATTCTGAAAATAAGCCCGCAAATCCCTTATTTTTCGACTCCCTGCCGCCAGGAGAATTGGAAATTTTTTGCTGATTTCTGCCGGAGCTGGGTTTTAGTTCTAGCGGGGGATTAGATGAAAACCCGGGGTGGGGGTGGAGGTTCAGATAATCCGACCCCCACCATGTGCTGATTTTGCGGATTATGTGGGGGTGGAGGGCGTGAAAATGATTTTTGCCGGATCTGCCCGGATTTTCGCCAGATCTCTAGCCCCACCCTCGCATCCGGTCGGGAGAAGAAATCGTGAAATTGTGGGGAATTGATACTTGTTTTCAGGTTGGCTCTGGGGAAATTGGAAATCTGGTAAATGGAAATGGCTACTGTAGGGCAGGTGTGGGGGCTTGGGGCGTACTGTAGTGTACTGTAGCCGAATGGTTAGTTCTAGATTGGCTTAAAGTACGTAAACGAGTGCACCGTACTACAGTTTAGTGCTGCCTGCACTGAGCGTACGTTAATATTGCGACGTACAGGCGAGAGCGGTGGCGGACAGTTTACGGCAGCCTACTGTAGCCTACCGAAACGCGCTTTGGCGTATTTCGGCGTACTGTAACAGACACACCTAGTACGGCAACGTAATATAATACATAACAGCGAGCGTTATAGCGCAGTATGTTAACGTACTCAAGCGTATTCTAATGTACTCTGGGGTAATCTTGCGTACTATACCGGTCGTAGCGTACTTATGCATACAATAGCGTAAAGAAGCTACACAAAAAGTATACATTTTAATTACTAAAGTAAAAATTACTTGCAAAAAGTACTAAGCTAACGCATAGTTCGGTAAAAAACTCACATCAGACAGATCCACCTCATCAGAGTGCTGGCGCTTTCGGGTGGCCGGCTGCGGGGCCATGGCTAGATCGGTCATGAAGGTCATCGCAGAGAAAACTGAAAAAAAATTATATTTAAACACTTGATTAAAGTACACTCAATAGCTCGAAAACTAACAAAAAGTAATCTTCGAGGTATTCCAGGTCCCAGACAAGGAGGAAGGAACAAAAAAGCAGCCTTTTCCGAGATGGCGCTTCGGAATTAGATAAGAATGGAGAAAGGTGAGTTTGCGTGTTCTGGGCGGGGAGGAGTGGCGATAAAAGGTATCGGTGAGAATTCACAGCTCTCAGATCAGTCTCAAATACGTCAAAAATGGACTCGAGCGGTGAGTGGGAGCAGTGAACGAATTCGGGGGAGGGTACGGTATCGGGGAGTGCAATAGGGGAGAGCAGAGTGTTGGAATTTCGGGGAGAGTGAGAGAGAGAGACAGAGTCAGAGCAAGAGCGTGAGAGAAAGCTTGAGAAAGAGGAGGACAATCGTGAGCGAGAGAGTGGGGGAGATAGAGAGAGCGAGAGATAGAGAGAGAGAGCTAGAGAGCCAGAGAGAGAGCGAGAGGGAGAAAAGAGCAAAAAAAAAACTATGAAAAATGCTTCAAGATCACTAAAATTACCCTGGTTACCGCAACTTGTTTGGAATAATAACAATGGCATTTCTTGCAAAAATTAGATAAAGAAAAAGATGTTTTTGGGATTACAGTAAGCCCCAGAAAGAAAAACTGGAGATCCGCTCGACCCAGAAAATGATCACGGATTGGGGATAGGAATGAACAGTTTCCCGAGAGACTCAGAGCACCGCCCGCTATTCTGCAGCTCCCACCCCCCGATCTGTGCGTTTCGTGTTGTCCGGCGTAGCACCTCCCAGGTGGGCGGAGCCTGATCGCGATTTTTGCGTGCCACGCGGGGAGCACGCGGCCTCCCGTCCCACGCCACACCGTACACCAATTGCATCAGCCTGCTGCGCCCGTTTTTGGAGTGTGGTTGCCCTCTGGGTCTCTCACTCTCGCCGTCTATCTCTCTATCTCTCTCTCTCTCTCTCCCTGTCTCTTTAGTCTCTCGCACCCACACCCTGGGAAAAGCCGAAAAAGCGCTAATCACTGAACGTTGGGTGATGCTTCCTATTTTTGGGTGTGCTGGACACTGGCGAGTGGTCAAAATAGTAGGTGTTTTTAGGAGTGCAACGGAATTCCGTGCTTTTAAAGAGACCGGTAAGCCAAAAATTCTCGAAACTTAGGGAAGATCTAGGAAAGAAGAAAACAGCAAGATAGAGTTAGAGCCAGCGAGAGAGCCAGAGAGAAAGAGTGGAGAGAGAGAATGAGAATGAGAGAGAAAGAGAGCAAAAGAGAGAGAAAGAGAGCACGCGCGAGCCAAAAAGATCTTGAGAAAGAACGAGAGCGAGAAATTGCGAGAGATGAATATGGGAGCTTCCGAGGCAAGAGCGAGAGAGCTTGAGAAGGCACGAGTGAGCAACAGCTAGAAAAATCGAGATCTTTAGGATTTCGCAGCCCCATTTCCAAAATATTCGAATTCCGAATTACACGCCTATCCCCGGAAAACAAAAGTTCAAAAGCCTAAGTACCACTGGCTCTATTCAATATTAAGAAATCGCAGTCATCCAAGAAAATTTCAGCGAATACAGAAGCCCTACAAAGTTCAGCCGCTCTACCGTAGCCTCGCGGAGGCGCGTGGCTGAGCCGGATCCCCGAGCGGATTTAGGCCCGCCCGGAGCGGGTCCCGACCCACAACTGAATCCCCGGAATGCCCAGGTAAAGATCCGGATGGAGCCCGGCTTAGCGGGGGTGGGGCCCGGGTCGGGGACCCGATGCTCGGGCTACGATCCCGGCCACGCCCCCTTTATTCTGCCGTGCCGGGACCACCCACACATATTTTGGAAGGTCAAGAAAAAGTTCGTGAGCAGCAAAAACGTCCCAAACGATCGAATTATCGGGAATTATCGTGGGTTGAGCTAAATTCCGCGCGGTTTGACGATTTTGCGCGTACCAAACCGGGTACGAGCGCGTCCAAATAACGCTTTTGGGCCCCGAAATTGGATCCGGCGGGTTGATTACGATACCAAAAAGGTCGTCGAGGGACAAATTCGCGGGTTTTGGCTAATAATTGAGTTGAGTTCCGGGGTATTGCGTGCTAAATAAAGGTTATTCGAGTCGAATTCGGACGTCGGAATGATGTGGAAGCCAAGCTGCGTAAGGGGGTATTGTCGTGAAGTGATGAAATCTACTCTTCGCCGTTAGCTAGCCACCTGCCGTCAACCACGAATTTAGGGATAGTAATGACGCTCGAGCTAAAAACGGGTCAGGTAGCTACGAAAATTTTGTTAGAGCAGGCAGCCTAAGCAGGTAAACTTGCGTAGTGATGGAAAATCGGCTTCAAATCTAGCTAAAAATTCCAGCTCGACCTACGCGTTGCTTATAGTTCACCAATGTACAAAGTACCACAAAAGTGATGCAAAACGACCTGAAGATGGGGAGCGAAAGCAGGAGAGAGAGAGCGAGAGAGAGAGAGAATGAGAGAGAGAGTGAGAGAGGGAGAGAGAGGGCGAGAGAGATACTTGCTCCTGCTCGTACTCTGAGCGTTCTTTCCGAACTCTAGCCGGTCTTGAAAAATATGGCCTGATCTACCGTATCCCCAAAATGAGGACAGTACGACCAAAAAGTTCCGTTGGCAACTTCGCCCGTTTTTGTAAGCAAAGAGCCTACGGACTTTTTTGTTAGGCGTGTATCCTCGCCTCGAACTTAACGCATGGGTGCACTACACCCATAACGCACTCCGATTCTACAGAACTTTTCGCGAATGCTAGCATGATGGGAGCAGCGAAAATTGCCATAGTTCTTGCAGTCCAAAAATGTTCACTTGTCGAATAGTTTCCTAGGCCTTCGTACATCTATTCCGTTAATTCTAAAATATGTTAAGTAATTCTTTACATTTTTTCGGCGAAAATAGCTCTAGAACACTGTTCTCTTGAATGACGCCTCTTCGAAAGTTCTCTTCGAATGTTCTGGGTCAAATTCTACGGGGGCTTCCCCAGTTCCCTACAAGACCCCGACCCACGGGTTTCCTGATAAAGTTTCCGGGTTTTCCGGGTGAGTGCAGAATACGTTTCGGAATTGGAAGTTCTGATTTCAGAGAGAGAAGGCCAGAGAAAGAGAGCGAGAGAGATATAAAAAGAGCCACAGGTAAAGAGAGAACAAAAGATCGAGGGATTGAGGTAGAGATAGAGAGACACACATAGGGAGGAATAGAGTGAGAGCGCGAGAGAGAGATATAGAGAGCGAGAGAGAAGGAGATCGAAGAGAAAAACGTTTTTAAATGCAATAGACGCTTGAAAACTAAAAATCCTTAGCTGAGGATCAGGCTGAGCAATGGGTCCCTAATGGGGCATGAGATTACGATACCGTTGGTTGTTAGTTTAGTTAAGCTTGCAATTTCACATGAGTATTTTAAGTTCTTGGTGTCGTTCACAGATAATTTCGACAAAATGCAGCTATTACTGTATTTTAAATACCTGGAAATGAGTGCATCTGGATTAAGTTCATTAAGTTCTTAAAGCCCCTCTAAAAATCACCGCACCACGCTTAAAAATTGCGTGAATACTCCTGATTTCCTAATATGACTCAAGCGGGGGTTCCCCCCATCTTACGATCTCTCCATCGCTTCCACTGCAAGGAGGGGCTTTCCGTAGCCTGCGATAACATTTTCACAGCCCATTTTTTCGAATCGGGTGCAACGGTCGGGGGTCCGGGGGTCACCCCGCCGGGTTTGGCTTTTTCCGTGCGCCACAAAATTGCATCAGCCGCCTAGCGGTCGGGCGTGTGCTGGACAGGCTGGCCAGCCATTGGGGGGAAAGCTCGGTGTGGAAAAGCGGAAAAGTTCTCTGCTCACACCGGACAAATATACGCGTTTTCACAGCCGCAGCTCCCTTTTAGAACTCGGCGTGCATGGCATGTGCACTCCAGGCAATGAGCCCGAAATCTCGTCGCAAAATCTGTCGGAAATGGCTGAAGGGCTACGACAACGAACTTTTGGCCTGCAGATAGGCGAGCAAGGACGACGGCAAGTTTATGCGGAAGCGCACTTGGCATGTTTCTGACTTGGGAAGGGCATGGGGGTAGATTTAGCGAGCGGAGGAAGCGTGGCAAAAACCCAGTTGCAATTTAAATGTTTTAAACCAAAGCAACCAAACCAACCTAAGCTATTTAACTTTTTCATGCCGGCCTACTGTGTAAATAAATATAAGTACAGTGGGATCGGATAAAAAGCCAAAAAATAAATTATTGCAAGGAACTGGGTCGTGGTAGGATTTAAACCTAAAGGAATCGCAGGGTAATGCTTTTGGAAACTACCTTCGGTTTAAGAGCGTTGATATTCAACCAGATTAACTTTTGAAGTTCGTTTTGTCTTAAAAGTCATACAAAAAATGGCGAAGAAATGACAAATTAGGTCGAAAAATATACGATTTAATCAAAACCCACAAAAAAACTTCTACAATCCGCGAGTTATATATACTTGCGGCTGTCCAGTCCATCCTTACCCAACCTCCCAAGCTTCGATAAAATAATGTTTACCCTTGCCATTCCCATGCTACCACAGGGGCGCAATTGGCCAGTGTCGTGAAATTCATGCGCTTGACTCACTCACTCCAAACGTCCCCAAGAAAATAACTAGACAACAGCAAGCAATAAAATTTACCGCCACGCGTTCTCCTGTCGTCATAATTACCGTGATAGCTTTGGGAAAGTACCGTAGTCCAGTGTCAAAAGTTTCCGCACGGAATCCTTGCAAATTTCCGCCCGCAGAGTGCCATCGAATGAAAGGGATTCACGTGGAATTCGAGGAAATAAGGGAAGAAAAGTGCGAGGCGCGTTTGGGGATCCCTACGTGATACTCCTCCGTACGGTATGCGGTGTTTTTGCACGGTGCTGGAATTCACACGCAGGTTGCATCCACGTGAAATGCGGGAAAATGATGCAAGGACTTTAGGTTTGGACTGCGCTTAGGCTTAGGCTTAGGCTTAGGCTTAGGCTTAGGCTTA